GCCGGTCCCTCCCCGTCCCCCCATGCTGCCTGGTAGCCAGGCACCCCCGGAGCCCCCTGAGCTCTGTCACCGTGGCAAGGGGCAGCACATCTGCCACCAGCCATGCCACAGAGAGTTTGCAGCCCCACGCCAGCCCTCGGGGTGGGCACAGGGCCCACAGACAAGCACGCGTGCCCCTCGCTGGGGGGCGGTGGGATGAAGGAATGGCCCACGGTACCTGCCTGAGCTTTTGCTGCAGCAGAAGCCGATCCCCGGCACTTGAGAACACCATGTCCTGGCCAGCAGAAATGGCGAAAACAAACTGCACACCCTGCTCTTCGGCAGCTTCGATGAGAGACCGCATGAGGGCTAGGCAGAAAGCAGAGGGGGTGCTGTGAGCACTGAGAGGCACGAGGCGGGGGGGAAGGGGACCAGGGATGGGGGCAGAGGGAACCCCAGTGGCCTGGGAGGGAGGAGCAGAGGGTGTTAGGAGGCGTGGGAGTGCATCGGGGGGGGAGACAGCTCCCAGTCTCCCGGGACACAGAGGACCCTCTGCAAGGGTCCGCGGGCCCTGGCGTATTAAAGCGCATTGCCAGACCCACGTGGGGAGTGCCCCACGCTGAGCAGACTCCTGGGCCCTTCCATGCGATGGGCAGGGTCTGGGGGGGCTCCTTGCACTGGGCAGGGTCTGGGGGTCTCCATGCACTAGGCAGGGCGGGCAGGAAGAGAAGCAACAGCCAGCCTGGCCCTGGCTGAGACGCAGACCGTGCTCCCCCCCAAGGAGCTGGGACGCCTGCAGCCCACCCGCGCTGGGGCCCGGCAGAGCCGCTACCTGCCTCGTGCTCCGTGTAGGGCTCCCGCCAGAGCAGTCGGTGCTTCAGCTCGTCCTTGGGCGCGTACATGTAGCAGTTCAGCCCCCAGCGCTTCAGCCTGTGCGGCAAGGATGAGGGGTGACCGGGGCTCCAGGCGGGCTCTTTTCAAAGAGGTGTCTGGGCAGTGCCAGCCACAACACCGCGAGCTCCTGGGCTCGAGAACCAAACCTGTCTGTAGCCCGAACAGGCAGACTGCAAGGTCGCCTGTTGTGCCGAGTGACTCCAGATGAAGCAGCAGTACGAGCTAGTTGCCCCTCTGGATGCGAGGGGTCTCTGTGGAGCAGGACCAGCAGAGATGGCCTGGCGAGCTGGGACCTCGCTGCTCCCCAAGCTCAGCATCCGGGAGCAGAGCGCGCCTGCCAGGCACGGCGTGGGCTGGGGGACTCAGCCCAGGTACTCTCTGGGAACCACATATACTCGGGGGAGCCCTCAGCACTGCAGACCCCCCCAGTCATCCCCGCAGGCTGGCCTGACTCCACTGACAGCCCCCACGCGCCTGCTGCACCGTTCCCCGAGCACGCCTTGGTCACTTGAACAGCTCCAGACCTTCAGAACTGTTGCTGTACAACAGGGCACACAGGGAAAGCCTCTGCCCCCCAGCGCTCCGGAGGAGAGAAAAGCCGCGTCTGGCAGCCGGGGACACAAGGGATCCAGGGGTGACTCAGGGGACGTGCACTCAGGCAAGACGGGAGAGGAAAGGTGCCCGGCTCTCCAGATGCTCCGCTAGTCGGAGCGAAGGGAAGGGGGGCTTGAGAGGGATCAAGGCCTGCCTGCTTCAAGATATCAGAGTGCTCCGTCATAAGGCGCTTTCTGGCCTCAAAAAGCCCAAATTCCTTCCAGAATCTCCCCAGCAATCCAAGACTCACTGGATGTTGTGAGGACAGGGCAGACCTCTCCCTGGACAGCTCTTTTGGCACTCCTGTATGAAGGCCATCTGATACATTAATTTATTTCTATTTTCCTCCTTGGTAGACGATGTTTTACATTTTCCCACGATGAGCAGACTGGGAAGCGCTCCATGTACCACGATACAAGTGCCTCATCTCCGGAGGGAGAAGAAAAACAGCGAGGAGCATCCCGCTCACATGTGCAAACTCGTGAGCCTGTATCCCAGCCTAGGGCCAGGCAAAGCCACCGCCAGACCTCATTCCTAACACGCTTTGAAACGTCACCTATCGTCTTCCTTCCCACACGTTTTCCCCGAATTTTCTAAGCTACGCTTTTCTGTATCGGCGCCTCTGGTCCCCGCACTATGATCCTCACCTGCACTCGTGACCGCCCACACCGTCACCAGTGCCCTCTCACAGCACGACCGGCACATGTCCCACGCAGCGCATGGCTGCCAGTGCCACCACCAGCGCAGTCACCAGGACACGTCCGGCCATCTCTGGCCCACTGCCCACCCTGTCACCAGCGCACTGCCCACGCTGTCACCACGCTGGGCCCAGGGCGGGGGAGTCTTTCCAGCATCCCAGAGGTGGCCAGTCCCACGAGCCTCCCTTCAGCACGCTTTCCAGCACTGCTCCTGCCTCCACAGCGCTCTGGCTTCCACCTTGTCACCCTGCCACAGGCGAGTACCTTCAGAGAGGAAAATTCAGGGTACTTGCCATTGAAAGAGAAGTTTCCTCTGTTCCATAGACCATGGTCTCCCATAGAAACCTGTAAAACGGGGAAAAAAAAGCCAAAATGCAGTTGTCAGTAACTGCCTTAAAACAGAGTCCCTCCGCGCTGTCCCTAAGTGGCTCCTCTTAACTCACAGCCCCACCAGTTGTCCACCTCTGCCCTCCTCAAACGTCTGCTCCCCGCTATGATGGGGCGCTGGTGCCCAGCAGCGGGTGTAACGCCCGTGCTCCCATCCTTCCCAGAAAGAGGGAGCAGGGAAGAACTGCACTTAACCTGGGAGGGGGAATTTGCAGAGTAAAAGCCAAGCCCAGAGGAGAGAGCCGAGGGCTGGCTGGGCCATAAGGCACTCGCAGCATTTTGGGGTGCACAGACGCACAGAGCTATCATGCATCCACCCTCGAGTTTCCTGCCTGGGGATTTCCTTCTTGGGAGACCAGCTCTGCGCTGCTCTGCAGCTCCCCGTGTCTCCGTCAAGCAGAGCAGCGTCATGCCTGTATGGGCTGCAAAAGCTGCGCTTTCCATCCTTAATCCCTGCACAATTCCAGCTGCACCCAGACTGACCGGCACAGCTCTCCGCTACGCCCTGCCAACACAGGGCTCTGAGGCAGCACCCCTGTCCCATTGCACACTGTTCAGACCAGGAACACACCAACAATCTGCAGGGATGCCCCCAGGTGCTGGGGCTGTGACCCCACAAGACATTTCAGACCCCTTGTCTGGCCCCCACTGGAAAACACCATCCCCATAAACCTGCAAGGGGAAAATCCAGAGAGGGAAAGCACACTGGGGAGCAACTCTACCAGCTGTCTGCTAACAGCAGCGTTCATCAGTGAGCACTGAGGGCGGCCGCGAGGGCATTGCCCTTCCAGAAGGTTCACATCAACAAAAGCACGGGCAGAAAATACAGATCTGGAGTCAGCAAATTCCCGAGTGTTCAACATTCCCACTTCTGCTGCCCGCAGGCTTTGGGTGGCTGTTGGGCACCAGGGTCTGCCACAAGCCGGAGGCTGCAGCCCCGCAGCAGCGGGCAGCCCGCCCAGCGCTTGGCGCAGCAGGGAACCCGGCCGTGGCTGGGTATAGTGAGCGGGGGCACTGCTGGACGCGCAGCTCCCATTCCCCTGCTGGGGGCACTTCCAAGGAAGGGCCCTTCTTATTTCTGCATGTGGGTGGGTGCAGGGAATTGTCTGCAGCGTTGTCTGGGAGGTGCGGAGCTGTCTGCAATGCCAGCGAGAAAGAACACCCAGTGGAAAGCAAGCCAGTTCATTTGGGGACAACGGGAGGGGCAGCAGGTAAGCGGGTGCGGAGGGGTGCCGATTTGACAGCTTCTTAAAGAGGAGGCTAAGGGCAACCTGCGGGTGTTCCAGCAGAGACCTGAAACTCAGCAAGAGGAGAACCTTCAGTCACTTTAAGTCTCTGCAAGATCTGGCAGAGGCGAGGTGAAGCCTCACCGAAAATACATCTTGCACAGCAACAGCACTGAGCCATCAGGGCAGCTTCCTATTTTCGGATGGGCCCTGCATCCCGGGCGACTGATGCACACTGAACGTTATCTTCCTTGCCGATAGATCTTCTACCTGCTTGAACATCTACAGGGTTATTCTGTCTTCTTTGAAATAATATATATTCGCCTTACTAGCCCTTCCCCACCGTGCACAGGGCCAAATTTGGGGCCACTCAAGGATCCCAGCAAACATTTCACCCAAAGAAAGCATTTCTATGAAAAATAGATTTTCCATTTCCCAATCCATAGGAACTTCTGCTCAGCACACAGCAAGGTCCCAGGAGTCCCTGTCTGCAAGCCACTGCCTGCAAGGATGGCACCCACCCCCTACCCATGCCCTGCCAGCAGCAGCGCTGTTGAGAATGCCATCCTGGTGTACTCAGCCCAGTAAAGTGGCTTAAATTGTACCAGCAAAATCTCTTTGTACCTGTGGCTGCATCTCCAGAGGAGTCACATTGGTGCTCCGCTTTTTTGGAGATGGATTAAGCACTGCTGAGCAATGCTGTGCATTTGCACCTTGACTCTCCCATGGCCCAGACCACTACACCAGTAACCCGTCCACACCATTACTTGCCGAGCTCTGGGCCACCTGGGGTGTCCTTGGGCAATTTTTTCACAACCATTAGCAGAGTTCTGATGCACACATTGCGAAGCAAAGTCCCTAGGTCCCAGGTCTTCCCCAGCCCCTCTCCTGTCCGGGGTGCAGGTCACCAGAGGCGCCAGTCCACCCGTGCTCTCTGGGTGCTAGCAATGCCCGGGCTGTCAGGAGGGAGCCCGGGACTCTGCGTAGGACACGCCACTCCTGACCTGCCTTGGCCCTGCTACGGCCGCACCCTGCTCAGCAGCCGGCCTGCTGCAGCACTGCCGCGTTCCACGCCAGGGCCTCTGCTGTCCGGGCGAGGGATGCCTTTCCTTCCTCATTCGCTAGGGATCTCCTCCTCCTGGAGGGGCTCTGCTGACAGCATGTGTCCTTCTCTTTCCCAGGTCAGCTTTCCTATATCAATGATTCTTGTCTGACTCATAGTTCTTTTTACTATCAACTTCCCCATCCCTGCACTTTCTATTTAGTGTTTATTTGCACGGTGTTTTTGCTTTCTCCCAGGCAAGGCAGTGGGCTTCAGCAGGGTACTGTGCGGCCAGGAAAAGCAGAGATGCTTTTGCCTAGTGGGTGCCAGGCCTCGCCCAGCTCCAGAGGTGCTGTGCTGCAGGAACGGCAGGACTGGGGACAGGCAGGGTAGAAGGACAGGGCTGAGCCATACAGAGCTGCCATGAGGGACCAGGCTGTTCCTGGCCAGCTCTGGGCATGGCCCAAGGCAGTGTTGCACTGCGGGGCAGGGAGGCAGGGGGGCACACACCGGGATGCTGCACCCGTGCCCAGGGCAGAGAAAAACCCACTGCAGAGCACTGGAGGCAGAGCAGCGGGTCCCCATGCCCCACTGTGGGGGGTTGGCTGTGCTGGGGTGGCTGCGGGGTGCAGCAGTGCTCTGGGGGAGAGCTGGGGAGCACCAGTGGGGAGTGCTGGTCCCGCACCCCTGGGCAGAGACAGGGCACTGTGCAGGGGCCCGGCTCCCTGCCTCCCCAATATCCGGGGGCCCGGCCGCAGCTCGGGTCCCAGCAGCCCTTCCCGGTCCCTGTTGGCTCTGGGTGGACTTGCCGGTGCTGGAGCAGATGGAGGGGTGCGCGGGGAGGTGGAGGGATGCGCGGAAGGACAGAGGGATGCGCAGAGGGATGTGCAGAGGGATGGAGGGATGCACGGAGGGATGGAGGAATGCACGGAGGGATGTGCAGAGGGATGTGCAGAGGGATGGAGGGATGCACGGAGGGACGGAGGGATGCACGGAGGGATGCACGGAGGGATGCGCAGAGGGATGTGCAGAGGGATGGAGGGATGCACGGAGGGATGGAGGAATGCACGGAGGGATGTGCAGAGGGATGTGCAGAGGGATGGAGGGATGCACGGAGGGACGGAGGGATGCACGGAGGGATGCACGGAGGGATGCGCAGAGGGATGTGCAGAGGGATGGAGGGATGCACGGAGGGACGGAGGGATGCACGGAGGGATGCACGGAGGGATGCGCAGAGGGATGTGCAGAGGGATGGAGGGATGCGCAGAGGGACGCGCGGAGGCACTCGCGGAGGTTCGGCTCCGCCACCCGCCCTCCTCCCACGCAGACG